ACATGAATTTGACTAGGGATGGCCGGATTAATTACTTAATATTTTTAATGATTATTTAGGACGGTGTCGTTTAGTTAAAAACGATGCCGCAAGAGGAAAGAAACAACACCGCGGATTGGAATTCGATACCGCGAGTAGGCCCAACGATGCCGCAATAGTTAAAACGACAGTGTTAAATTTAAAACAGTGTCGCGAAGCTCAAAGCTCAACGACATCGCGGGCCTGGAAAACGATGTTGTTTAACTAAGAATGGCGCCGAGGGATGAGAGTTTGACGGCGAGTTAACAAAGAGGGCTCGTTTAATTAATTAGTATTTTATAATTATTTTAGACGGTGTCGTTTAGTTAAATACGACAGCGCGGAAGGTAAAAACAACACTGCGGTACTAGGAAAGAAACGACATTGTTTGGTCAAAGACAGTGTTGCAAGAGTTTAACAATGCCGTGAAAGTGATGCTGTTTTGCCCAAAAAAAAGGTGCGAGCTCGACGACGTTGATAAGCTTTAGTTCAGTGTTGAGAAACTCAACAACACCGTGAATTCAATAAAGTTGGGCATCAATGGTGGGAATTCGACGATTTCGGGATACTAAGAGCTACGTTGTTTAGAGAGCAATATTGTAAGCCATGAGTCACCATCGAAAGTGGCATTGATATTGTGAGTGCGTCGATGTTGCAAGGCTGGGAGCTCAGCGTTGCGGTGTTGTTTGTGATACGCCGTTGTTTTATGAACAAGGATGTATGTAGTTTGACTTAAGGAGTCAGGGTGGATTATCGAACCCGGGTGGATAACTACAAGGGTGGCTCAATGTTGTTTTGCCAAGTGCTGCATAGCAGAGCAGTTTCGCACTCGTGGTAGTTACGCAACAGTGAGGAGGTTACCTGCACGGTTGACAGGAATGAAGACGTGGGAGACAAAGACGCGAAGGCAGTTACTACGACTGCGGGGAGAAGAGCGAAGTATAAAGATTGGGCAGAGAGAGAAGCTCCAGACGGCAAAATCAAATCTCAAACTGCACCGTCGCAGAATTATCAGTTTTTCTCTCTAGTTTCGTAGAACCGCTCTGTCAAAGAACTCCTTTGCCGAGTCGTAGATCGTAGCTTGTAGTCGTAGTCGCGGAGCTCTACAGAGGAACCTCCATAGGAGTAGAGGTAACAAAACTTAGAACACTCCCGGTTTGGTTTCTCGTTTCTCGTTGAACACCCTCGTTCGAACGTAGTTTGGAGAGGTGGTGAACCGAGTAACGGTTTTCTTGGTTAGAAGTCAAAGGTGCATCGATCAAATCAACAGCGCCGACATTCGGCGGCGGATATTTGACGATTGTGTTGACTTTGTGTTTGCGTTTACTTGAAAACAGTGCGCTTTGAACACACGAGTTTCGCCAACGAAACAAAGTGGCACACCTGGTGGGACACGTGTGTTCGAATGGCTCCGCGACGAAGGAATTGGTGCTAAAGACATCAGCAGTTCTAAGAATCTGCCGTCCACAGCTGGGCCGACTGAGGATTTGTCAATCCGCCATTTTATGGAGGAAAACCGTCGCATGTTTGCTAGCCTCAACAATGAGTTTGCAGGCGAGTTTGCAAGCTTCAAAGGCGAGGTAAATCAACGTTTTGACGCTTTAACTGCACGACATGATTCTCTTGAGTCTCGTGTTGATAGGCGTTTAAGCCAACTCTTTGAAGTTGTGACTAAAAACATACATGATTTTGATGTTTTGTGGATAAAAATCTACGTGATATGAACGAAATCAGGGAGCTTTTGGGTAGACCAGTAATGCAACCTAGGGATATGCCTCTAAACGGTGAAAACAATTTAAATGGCAAAACTGGTTTTCCAAACAACAGTGCTCGAATTAGTCCGCCAAGACAAGGAGTTCCGCCGACACCGGTGATGAACCCACCAACTCCGCGAGTTAATCTTGGCGAGACTAGTACTGCCGCTAACACTCGGGTTGAACCACCGCCGTTTCACGATGAGGGTCCACAAAATATCCCGGAGGCCAGACCCTACGTGGCTCCGATGAGCAGTGCTGTTGGTGGAGGAACGATCAACAATGATCGTGTTCCGCCACACGGTTACCCGCAAAACGTGCCTCCTCCTCCAAACGGGCTTGGCATGGATCCTGGTGGATTCTTACCACAAGGAGGGAAACTCGGGGGGCAAGACGTTAATGTGATTCGAGATCAGGTAGCACAGATGCTGGCGGATCAGTTTGGTTTAGGGATTAGACCAACGATGTCGCCGGTATAGCGAAAACCATATACAGATTGGGTTGATAGATACTACCCCTTTCCACGTGGTTTTCGCGTGCCTGATTTCATCACCTTCAGCGGGACTGGAGATCAGTCCACCGTCGAGCACGTTGAACGATTCACGGTTCAGTGTGGTGATGTGAGTGATTTCTTGAAGTTGCGTTTGTTTGGCAACTCGTTGACTGGTCCCGCATTCGCGTGGTACGTCAACTTGCCATTGAACTCTGTTCAAACTTGGCAGCAAATGGAACAATTGTTCCATGCCCAGTTCTACCATTATGAGCCACAAGTAACAATGGCAGACTTGGCACGAATGCGCCAGCTGCCAGGGGAAACGGTAGAACACTTTTTAACTAATTTTGAGAACGCAAGAAATCGTTGTTTTGTAAACTTGACAGAACGCGAGTTTGTTAAACTTGCCCAGGGTGGATTGAATTTTGAACTTCGTAAAAAGTTTCAAGATAGGGAGTTTTCTGATCTATTTCCATTGATGTCCTGCGCTGTTAGATATGAATCTCTTCTCCATGAAGAAGAACATAAGAGAAGTGGCTCTCGTTGACAATATTTCGCTAATTTTGAAAACTATGGTGTGAATAACGTCGGCAGCGATGTTGACGAGGTTGAAGTTGATTTGGCCGAGATTGTGCAGGGGAAGCCATATGTGTGTGCTTCTCTAGCCAAGGCCGATGGGGAACCACAAGGTGGAAAGCCCAATCGTGCTCCAATTCAAACTAGGAAATATTCCTTTGATGTTTCAAAATCAGAATTGATTTTCGACCAGCTTTACGAAGATGGTCAAATTAAGTTAATTGGGGGGCATACTATCCCGGCAGCTGAAAAATTAAAAGGGAAACGATACTGTAAATGGCACAACAGTGCATCTCATTCAGCTAACATGTGTGTTGTGTTTCACAACGTTGTGCAGGATGCAATTGAGAAAGGTCGGTTCAAGTTCCCAGAGCCGAGGAAGGAGGCCATGATTGTTGACACGGACCCTTTCCCAAACGTTTTCGGCATCAACATGGTCAATCCTGATTTCTCTAAGATCAGCCTGCCACGCTTCAAGCTGGTGGTGGATACAACGCCACCGCCGAGTGGTAGTTCTGATGTAGCCCAGGGTGCTTCATCCTCCCAATTGCAGGAGGGGCCACGCTTGGATCCAGCTGAGGAAGAGAAGCCGTGTGCCCAGTGTCGCGGAAAGCTAAACATTGGGGGAGCAAGAACGAGCCAGCCGGTCCAACAGAGATTGGGACCACGACAGTTCAAACCGAGGTACCCCTCATATGAACACAATGTCGAAGGAGTACGTGCACGTGCATGGGGAAGAGGGCAACGTAGACAGTGGGTTGCTCAAAGTGCCCCACCTTTAAAAGTCTACCTTTTGGACTTGCCCAACCGGTGAGAGGTTACCCACCTGTTAGGAGAACCTTCAAGATGCTGAATGTGCCACAGGGTGGTTGTCACACCCACGACGTCCGTCGTCAGCAGCCCATCGCGGTTGACGGGATGAGAAGGACGCAGTATCGAAGGTAACTCCGCAAGAATGCTCAAGTAAGGAGGATTGCAAACTTGCAAGCGAATGTGAACGTGGATAACTCTGCCACGGGTCTGAGAGTGACTATGGCCGGTGCTGGAAAAGTTGTCGAGGACAAGCTGGACGGGAACGATCAGGGAGTCCCGGGAGAGGCTGAGTACAATGATGAGTTGGATGACTCCCTTATCGAAGAGGCGATGCTGGAATTGGAGGATCCAAAGTCGAAATTTGATCGAAAAAACAAGGATGTCGATGATGACAACCAAGGGGCACCCATGACGATCCAATTTGGAAGTCTACCACCAGTGGTGGTGAACAACTACATCTTGCCTTTGATTTTTCACATTGATTTGGAAAATCAAGGATAGGATGGCGAGGTTGTGATGGAGGTTGAACAGTTGGATGAAGCTGCTCAAGAGGTCAATGTTGCTGAGCTGGTGAGCGGTTTTGCTCAACTAACTTTAGAGGAGGAGAATGAGGAGCCAGCGACGGCAGAGCTGGTTGGCGAGTCTGCGGATCTACCAATCGAAGCTGAGCCGTGGATTGCAATGATGGTTCGCACGAATGGTCGAATTGACTTGGCAGTAGAGTCAGCCAAACAGAACAAGAGTTCTCAGTGGATTGTGAAAGAACTGTACGAAGCAGGCCACAAAGCTGTCAGGCTACTGGGCGAAGATGGGAGAAGATACCCTTTTTACGTGTTATACCAAGGCCCAAAAGAGTCAACAAGTAAGCCAGTGGAGAACATCACATGGGGATCAGATTTCGACGAGGTAGATAAATCTATCCGGGCTGTACAAGCGAAGGGGAAAGCTGTGGACGAAGGAACCACGGGTGAAGAATCAAATAGGGTAGTTGTTTTCAATAACCCGGAGCCGAAGATGCTGCGTCATTTGAGGCCTCTCTACATCAAGGCCACACTTGATGACGTACCAATGTCGAGAGTCTTAGTTGACAATGGCGCCGCGGTAAATATGATGCCAACAAGGATGCTGAAGAAGTTTGGCAAGAGTACTAATGACTTAATCCCAACGGAAGTATTCGTGACAAGCTTCAATGGCGGGTCCACTTCTGCCAGGGGAATCCTCCCAGTTGTTGTGGGAGTTGGATCGCTTGCTTTCTTCGTGGTGGATGGATAAGTTACAACACACTACTTGGCCAGGATTGGATCCACGCCAACAAGTGTGTTCCTTCATCGTTGCATTAGTGTTTGATGCTCTGGAACGAAGACGGTGTCGTTAAGGTGGTACAAGCTGACACAAAGCCGTTTTCCGTTGAGGCCAACGTGGTTGAAGCTTATTTGTACCATGGAGATTTTGGACCACTCGAAATTAGGAACGAGGATGGAGGAACGTCCAACGCCATAGTGTCAAGTGCACAGGTACTGAGTAAGGCATGCTTGGACCCATTATCCGAAATCGTAAGACCATCGATGATCACATTAGATGGTCCACTGAAGTCTGATGAACAAGTAAATGATGAGTGAACCACCTCGAGAGAAGGTAGTGGAGGCCGAAATCACGACCTTGCGGGAGAAGTTAGCCGTCTATCAGTGTGAACAAAGGCTTGTCTGTATAGAGCCTGTCTTGATGGCCGATTGTGTTCCCGACGATGATGACTTGCCGACTAACGGCGAGGGTGTGAGTGACGAAGTGGAGAAGAAAAGCAACCTTGTTGCATGCGACATTTTAGAGGAGATCAACCTTGGCACGGAGGAGGATCCACGCCCAACGTTCAACAATGCCGGTTTGCCAGAGTCTGACAGGTACGAATTAATTGAATTCCTTAAAGAGTTTAAAGACTGCTTTGCATGGGATTATCATGAATGCCTAGTCTTGATAGGAAGTTAGTTGAACATAGACTTCCAATTAAAGAAGGGTATAAGCCACATAGACAACCACCTAGGCGGTTTTCGCATGATATCTTGCTTGAAGTGAAAAAGGAAATTGAACGTTTAATGAAGGCTAAGTTTATTAGGACTGCTAGATATGTGTTCTGGTTGTCGAACATTGTGCCTGTGAGAAAGAAAAATGGCAAAATACGTGTTTGTGGGGATTTTAGAAATTTGAACAATGCTACACCGAAAGATATGTATCCCATGTCGGTGGCTGACATGTTGATCGATGTCGTAACCAGGCATGTCAGGTTTTCTTTCATGGACTGTTACTCGGGCTATAACCAGATATACATAGCCGAGGAGGATGTACACAAAACGGCATTTCGGTGTCCAGGATCCATTGGCTGTTTCGAGTGGATCATGATGCCATTTGGATTGGCCAACGCCGGGGCAACTTACCAACGAGCCATGAATGCAATATTTCATGACCTGATTGGCGAGCTAGTCGAAGTGTACGTGGACGACATCGTCATCAAATCAAAGGTGACAAACCACCACCTAGCTCATTTGCGCAAAGCATTTCTGCGTATGCGTGTTCATAAGTTAAAATTAAATCCGCTCAAATGTGCATTTGGTGTGAGTGCGGGAAATTTTTTTGGTTTTCTAGTAAACCAACGTGGAATTGAAGTGGATGGCAATAAAACAAAAGCCATCATCAATGCCGCACCACCATCCAGTAAAAAGAGTTGCAACGTTTCCTCGGCCAGGTAAACTACATTCGAAGATTTATCTCGAATTGTGCTGGCCGGACTCAGGTGTTTTCCTCATTGCTGAAGTTGAAGAAGGAAGAAAGGTTTGTATGGAGGGAAGAACATCGACGAGCATTTGATGATATCAAGAGGTACCTGGCAACTCCGCCGGTGATGAACTCTCCCAAAATAGGCCGCTGGAGTTGTACTTGTCAGCCACGGACACTTCTGTTGCGTGTTTGTTGGCTCAAGACAATGAAGTAGGCAATGAAGAGGCCATTTATTATCTAAGTAGGCTTCTGAACGAGGGCGAGAGAAAGTATTCCCCCATAGAGAAGTTATGTTTAGCGTTGTACTTTTCTTGTACAAAGCTACGCTACTACCTGGTCCCTGTCCAGGTACAACTCATTTGCCAAACAGACTTGATTAAATACATGCTATCTCGGTCAATTATTCATGGTCTAATTGGCAAGTGGACTTTGTCTCTATCTGAATTTAATTTAGAGTATGTACCTCAACGAGCCGTAAAAGGGTAAGCATTGACGGACTTCTTGGTAGATCATCCCTGCATTGAAGTGCCAAGTGATCCCGTAGAAGTTTGCAAGGTTGGTATAACGCCATGGATCCTGTATTTTGACGGATCTAAAACTCGAGGCAGTGCTGGAGATGGCGTGATGTTGAAAGCACCATTAGGCCGTTCCATGCATTTTGCATTCTCGTTGGATTTTCCTTGCACCAGTAACCAAGCTGAATATGAAGCTTTGGTGGTCGGGCTGGAAATGATCATTGAGCTTGGAGTCCACAACCTGGATGTTAAGGGAGATTCACAGTTGGTGGTTCATCAGGTCCGCAGGGATTTTCTCTGTATCAATAGCGTTCTAGAAACATATCTAGACCATGTATTGTCGTTGACTGCCCACTTCGACAGTATGGCGATCAACTTTGTTCCTCGAATGGACAATAGCGAAGCCAACTATCTTGCACAAATGGCTTCTGGATTTAAAGAGTTTGCGAAAAGCAATGCAGTAGAAAAGATAGTGGTGCAAACACTTAAGCCCTTACGAGAGCGGCTGAGAGTTGAGCAAGTTTGCATAATAGAGAAAGACGCTGATGACTGACATGCACCACTGTTGTCTTACTTGCAAGATCCGAACAAGGCCGTTGACCATGTCGTCAAGTTTAGAGCAAGGAGCTACGTAGTTTTGGATGGGACCTTGTATAAACGCAGACCTGATGGGTTATTGTTGAAATGCTTGGGGGCAAGGAAGCATTGCAAGCCATGGCAGAGGTGCATGAAGGAATATGTGGAGCCCACCAAGCTGGTCCTTCCATGCGAAGATTTTCAAAGTCACGGTCCTGTTCAAAGAGCGTCAGCGGTTGATCTGAAATCCATAATCAAACCGAGGCCGTTTTATGGGTGGGCCATGGATTTGATTGGTATGATTTATCCTCCATCGTCAAAGAAACATGTTTTCATAATTTTGTCCACTAACTACTTCACTAAGTGGGTGGAGGCCAAACCGTTGAAGGTGGCTAACCAAGAGGAAGTGATTTCTTTCATACAAGAACACATTATCCATCGATTTGGTTTGCCAGCAGCAATAACAGCGGACCAAGGAACTGTGTTCACTAGGGGGCAAGTTATGGAGTTCGTGGCGGAGCGGGGGATAAAAATTATCCATTCCACGTTGTATTACACACAAGCTAACGGGCAAGCGGAAGCATCCAACAAGGTCGTGAAAAATATTTTGACGAAGATGATTGAGGATAATCCGCGACATTGGCATGAAATTTTATCAGAGGCGTTGTGGGCGTACAGGATGTCCTCACGAAGTAGTACGAGAACGATCCCTTTTTCGTTAACATATGGCCATGAAGCATTCCTCCCCATGGAGGTGACCGTCAACTCACTCTGATACATGAAGCAGCACGAGTTAACACCTCAGGAGTATCATGAATCGATGATGCTCGAGCTCTGTGATCTTGATGAACTAAAACTCCGCGCCCTCGATAATGTTCAAGTACAGAAAGCAAGAGTGGCAAGAGCTTATAACAAGAAGGTTCGGCACAAATCGTTCGAAGAGGGCGAACTGGTCTTGCCAATTGGGGAAAAATATCCCAAGGTTGGAAAATGGTCGCCAAATTGGCGTGGACCATTTGTGGTAAATTCTGTGCGTCCTAATGGAGCCTACTTGCTGAAAGACTTGGATGGAGTGATGCATGAGCGTTTGATAAATGACAAGTATTTAAAGCCATATGTACCGTCCCTATGGGATGCATCTAGTCATTAATCTAAGCAATGACGAACAACCACGTGCCAAAATGAAGTGGCCTAGCCGGCCACCAAGCTTGCACAACGTGGTTGAATAGTACGGGATCGGCGAAGTATGCAACAAATATACTAACTCGCTAACTCCGTTACTAATAAAGAAAAATTGTAATGCCTTTAAGGCCATCGGCAGGGTCAACATGATCTCAGCCGGTGCGGTATAATACCAAATTTTTTCTCCTCCTTGCTTATCAGAGTCGCTAAATAAGACTAGTGCAATGGTGTCATTTTATTGTTACTCTCTCATTAATATTTCCTAGTCAACGTGGGAAAAACAAAGCCGTTGCACGTAAAAAAAACATAGTTGTTGGTGGTGAAAAACAGTGTTGTTTGCCAAAACAAAAGAATTAAAGACCAATCATGGTCTGTTTATTTATTATTATCTAAGTGATATGGGCAGGCGGTGTCATTTTGTGTTCCTTTTCTCGACGACGATGTTTAACCTCTTATGTATTGCTTTTGGAAGAAAAAAAACGTTGCAGAGCAATGAAACCATGCGTATAGCCAAAGGATGTGGGCATGTGGCCATCAAAATTGTTTTAGAAGGGCCACACCTTTGAGGTGTTCGAATTCTACATGGAATGGTTTTTTTGCAAATAGCTTCTCACGTGGGAAAAGGGTGATGAGAATGGTGTTTGGTTGAAGAATGAAACCTTAGTTACACAAGGACGAGGCCTCAATGTTGCTTTGTCCAATTATTACCCGGAATGATTCAACAGTGTTGTTGAGAGAACAACGTTGTTTTTTCTTTCGTTATTCAGCGTGGTACAGTGGTTTGGAGATGAATTTAGGTGGTTGAATTTATGTCAACAATTTGGTTCATAATTCTTATAAACCAAATTGTGGGAGGTATTTGTTGACACCTAAAATTAATTTGGCCTGAATTAAATACCGCATTAATTAGCCTGAGCATTTAATTTGATACCGTGGATAAAAAAATGATGTCGTTTGGAGTTGAGCAGCATCGCGGAGATTTAAAACGATACCGCGAAACAAAAAACGGTACCGCAAGGAAGCTCAGCGGTACCGCGGCACTAGAAACGACAGCGCTTACTGAAAAATAAAAGAGGCCGCACGTTTAGTGTGGGTGTTGGAGAAGGAGTTTTTTTCTAATTAATTATTTTTTTTCCTTGTTGGAAGGGGACAAGCGGTACCGAATGGAGACAAGCGGCATCAAGGAGAATTAAAAAGGTACCGCGGATTTAAAAACGATGCCACAAGAGCCTTGATAAGCGGTACCGATTAATTAAAAACCATATCGGGTAAGTGACCAAAATCTGCCCAGCCCATTGCGAGTGCAAACTCTCGGCGGTTCAATGAATTGGTATTTTTTGGCTATGTTAACGGTGTCGTTTAATTAAGACGGTGTTGTGAGTAAGCCCAACGGTACTGCTATATTAGCAAACGACAGTGTTTAAAATAAAAAACAATGTCGCGAAAGGAAAAGCAAACGGAGCCGTTTTGGCGCTAATGATGTCGTTGGCCAACACACGAGTTTGACTAGGGATGGCCGGATTAATTAATTAATATTTTTAATGATTATTTAGGACGGTGTCGGCTAGTTAAAAATG